CTCCCCGATGCATACTGAATGAGAACGCGGGCGCAGATGGCGCCGCGTTAAATAGTTAAGGCTGACCCCCCCCCACCACTGTTCCATAGATAGGCTCGCTTGCTGTCGGCAAGCGAGGCTCGCTGGCCAGCATCTTGGTTTACGCCCCCACACACAAGATTCTCAGGTTGGCTCGCCTGCTGTCGGTAAGCGAGGCTCGCTGGCTAGCATCCTCGGAGTTTACAGCCTACGGTTATTTTTGGCTCTGTAGCTCTGAGTCAACCGCCAGAGCGCAAACTCCCGGAAGTTCAGGCTCAACCCCTTCCTCCCTCGCAGCGCACTTTCACCGTCCTAGCGGTTCTGGCCCTCGTGTTAACGACGCCACAATACGATAGAATGTCTTCATACGCTAGGCGTCATTTTAAAAAATTACCTCATTGTAAAAAATTAAAGAAAAAACTTTGGTATTTTTTTGAGAAGATTATCAAAATGCCTTTGGGAGTTCATGTAAAGTACCTCCAAATATTATAATATCCGCTTAAAATTCGGTAAAGTCAAAACATTGAAAGGAGAATATTCATTTTGTTGAAAATCGTGTACGTATGGTTTTTGTACTAGTGTTGAACGTGTACTAGCTCGAGCTCGAAAAAACATTTTTTTCGGTATCATGAATCCACAAAATTATTTCCATCAAAATTTTGAGTTTCATTTATTTCCGCATTACAAGTGATTCTTCAGTACGGTACTACGCTATGGAGGTAGATGAGTAAGTAAAAGCCCAGGTGAACATCAAATACCTTAAACAGGTGTCACTTTGTGCCGCGCAGATGGCTGTGCCACAGCGCCATTTAGAAAGCCATTGTCTACGCTGCTTTGTCTCTGCTAGAGGCATTGGTGAATTCACCTGTTGAGTGGTGCTATCGATTAGGAACTGCATTGTCATTACTGTGTTCCCGCGTTTTTAGATCTTACTTTTCTATCAGTTGCTGTCGTGCTTATGTAAAGTTCCCCTCACAAAAAGGGCCGGGTGAAATTCCATCTTTTCAACCGTCCAGACAAACTTGGACATCCTTTGATCCTGGGTAGGGACGCGTTAACCAATCCCAGTAAAATCTCCGTGTCTATGTGATTGGCGCAAACTATCGTGGGGCGTGATAGACGCTGTTTGCGAGGGCGGAGCCTCGATTGTTTACGTACGAGGCGAAAATATCGTCATCTTTCCCTACCGAAGGTGAGATTTTGCCTGAGCGTACGCCATGACAAAAAGTATTTCTAAATAGGGTTTTCCGTCCAGAATTAGTGTCAATAGAACATTAAATACTAAACATTTGAGCAACAATTATACTAACTATTTAGCAATATCAAATTGTAACTTGTCATTTAGTCAAGTGCCATTTTTTGTTATTTAAGGTCGGATCAACTTCTAGGTCATTATGTTTGTAACGGTATGGTAACTGTGAGAAGGACGCGATATGATAATGATGATAGGAGTGAAAGGACGAACACAACACAACCATACCCGAGGCGGGACTCGAACCCGCGATCCTTCTGTCTGAGATCGCTACAACACTACTGCCTTAGCTATCTCGGCCATCCGGCCGACAGCTGTCATACTGTAACTATGTCAAACTGCTATATTAAAATTTAGGCTTGAGGATCTTTTACATTCAAGTAAATCTACTACCATGGGACAGCCGAGTTTACTTCTCCTCCGAAGGAAGGCGTACGAAGGATTTTTTCGCCCTCAAAACTCCACGGCTTCGATCTGGTTTGATCCTGCCAATTTGGGGGTAACAGTCCGATATGACATTACCGCTGATATGCATTCTTACCATGAATTTGATATTTTCGACTCTTGGAGTGCATTCTCTAATAACAAGTAAGCGCAATGAATACCACGTTAATATTATTTTCGTCATAAGTTCTCCTGGACGCGGGAATGGCAAATGTAAGCAGCCGCAAAGTTTCGAACAAGAGCTGCGGAATAGGAGGGCCCGAGTTCAAATCCAAGCGACGCCGACTAATCTTTACCTCCACTTGCACTATGGAAAGTTATGTAATGCTGCAGGAGAAAGGGTGGAAATTTCGACAGAAAATGCGTTCTGTATGTCGCTCATTCGGAAAAATGGATTGTTTGTTGTCAGAATGTTTATGTTTTACGATATTTTAGCCTCATGCGTAAACAATCGAGGCTTCGCCCTCGTCCATCACGCCCCACGGTAGTTTGCGCCCATCACATAGACACTAAACTTTTGGCAGTAGCGATTTGCCAACGCGCCCCTCCCCCGGATCAAAAGGTGTCCAAGTTTGTCTCAACGGTTGGGAAGATAGAATTTCACCCGTCACTTTTTTGGGGGAGAACTTTACCTCAGAAATTCAGTACCGGAACTGTAAGGTAAATAAAGTAACTGCATTGTTTTACAGCATTATTCATTAATCTAGTGCTGTGCATTAATCTGGTGCGTTCTTGGCAGATGGAGTATTCGGTAGGTTCATGTAGTTAGCCGCAACAGAAGGAAGTAGAAAACTAATACGGGAAAGTTTGTGCCACCACTAGTTACATTTGAGAGAAAAATATAGTGATGGAAAACGAAGGGACATATTTGTGCCAATAGCTCTTCAATTCGATTCGATATTTTCAAGTTTTCGGCACTTCTCTACAAATTGGTTTAATTATACATTTGGTTTCTTGGGAAAACGGGATATTGTATGATTAACAACTAATGCAGTGATGGTTCCACCCATAATGGCACTCGCAACTCATTATCTTCTCAATCCATAACAGGAGCATTTGCAATGGCGCAGAATGAAGGAGGGCTGTTGCCTGGACAAGACACTGCCATTGAAAGTGATCCGGCACAGGTGAATGCCTTGCAGAAATTGTAGATATTTGGAAAATGGATGCAGAATGTGAATGATTTTTTTTACAAATACAAAGTTATAATCTAGAAAATTAAAAATACATAGTTAAAATCAAAAAAAAATATTTTCGCTCTTCTAAAGCTAAAATCATTGGGGAAACGATACGCTTTCTACTATCATTCCATATGTCAAAATGTTCACTCAACTAACTTCAAAAAATATTCATAAAACAGCGTGCATCTAGGCAGTGGCGGTGGTGCGACCTTTTCCTGAATATTTCGTTTTAAGATTTTTAGGTTTCGAGAGCACAAGGAACGCTGCCAGAGCGGCAAGTGCGACGTGCTGGGCCTCTGCAAAGGGGAAGGGACAAGGACAAAAGGAGGGTGGAGTAAAGCACTCACCCTGCCTCAAATTCCGGCCTCTCTCCTACAACGTTCTGAGACTGGCTGCCATGGCAGAGCTAGTGAGTGTAGTAGCACCTCTAGCGCGACAGGCGGCGGCATGTGCGTCTGCCCGGCGCCCGCCAGCACCCGCGCGAAGCCCTCGCCACCCGTTAATGCGCCATATATGTGTGTAGAATGACGTATTGCATATGCACCCATCAACCCGTGACTCACAAAACTATTCACACATTTAGAATTTAATCAAAAATTGCTTAAATTTTTCTTAGAAAAACACATCATTAGCACTTTGAAAGAATAAAATGATCTTGTGCACGAAAACATAATAAATGCATTCAAAAATATGTATTTGTTGGATTAAAAATAAATGGATGATGCAGAGACTGCGCTTCAACAAAACTATTCGCACAGTCGTTGGGGCAACGTGGTAGAGGATATTTTCTCCGAAAAGAAAGTTGAACCCTTCGACCCTTGCTGCACTTTCAAGGCCACCTGTCAGCCGAAGAGCCATATGCGCAGAACCTGAAGCGCAAGGGGAAAGAACACCACGTGCGAGCAGCGTCAGCTGATTATTTACCATCACGTAAAGGGAAAATCAAAGGCCGTACATTTGCACCATTGCTATAAATGAAGACGACCACAGTGAGGGATGTAATATCACTGTACATCAAGGAACTGAAGGAGTTGAATCAATGGATTGAACTGCAACCCAGAGGAGGACGCACGACATTTTCTTTTCAAGAAACGAATCACATTTTGAAAATGATTAACAAGGACCCTCCTGTTAGTGCAACAAAAATTACTGTACAGTTAAAATTTGCATTGGCATGAATATAAATCTTAAAACCATTCAAAGGGTACTAAAGGGGTCAAATTACCATAGCCGGGATGCCAAAAAAGCCCTAAGTAAAGCGAATCAAAGAAACAAAAGTTAAAGAACACACAGAAAAAGATTAAGACTAGTGAAATAGAGTAATCTTCGCTGACGAATCGAAATTTAACATCTATGGTTCCGATGGAAGAATTCGGGTGTGGAGAAGACGAAATGAAGAGTTGAAGAAGAAAATATGAAGGCAATCGAGAAGCAAGGACGAGGAAATGAAATGGTGTGGAGCTGGGTCTCAGCCAACGGTGTCGGAGAACGTGCTCATAGAGCAAACGATGAATACTATCGTCACATTCTTAAACAATATTTACAACAAATTGCTGAACATCTTGGTATTCTTGATAGATTTTCTTTTTATCGAGATAATTATCTCAAGTACAAGGCGGAGGCTGTTCAACTTTGGCTGCTGTACAAATGCCCAAAAATACTTCATCCATCCCCTCAGTCCTCAGACCTTAATGTCATAGAGTATCTTGAGAAAATTGGAAAAGTAGATAAGAAAATACCAGATTAATTCCAAACAATAATTAAAGCAAATAATGCAACAAAAATGGAGATTTTTTCTCTTTCTTATGTCCAAATAAGTTATATACCAAATAGACTGAAGGAAGTACTACAGCGAAAGAGCATAGCTATACAAAATACTGTATACATTTCCTTTGTTATTTTTTGTGTGTTTTCTGTTTGAACATTATTTACTTTGCACATTTATTTATATTTCCATTCAAGTGTCCGAATAGTTTTGTGAGTCACTGGAGATGCGAATGTTACAACGTTCCATGACAACTTTCTCATCGCGCGATTTGGTTGACGATGTGACAGAGATGGCGTTGTGCTCCGAGCAATCGATCAGAGAAGTTTTGTGAAGGCGATCGGAACGAAGGCAGTTGGTAGTTGATTTTTGAAAATGATGAACGTGAAGCTTAAATCAGGAAACGTTTGTGTTGCCAATTGTGGAGACGTTGGAGAAAAGTTTCAGTGAACATCTTCGTTAGTAAACGAATTAGGAACTGTAATCAGGGAAAGTATTCATTGCACGATTGCGTAGTTGAATTTGTGAAGATTCGTCATCTTTGTGTGGTTTTTCGGGCATATTTTAGTTACACGTGATGACGAACAGTGAATTATTTTAAAGTGCATTATGTAATTCCGTAAATAAAGAATAACTACTTTGGTAACCATAGAACTGTATGTGGTGAGCGAAGTGTAAAGAATTCAACTGACTGCGCTTGTTATTTTACCAGCTGTAGTGATTATTGTAGACGACTTTGTGCACATGCTAGCGTGAGCACAGTAAGGGTGAACGAACTTGAAAAATGTGTTGGGAGATAAGGAACCTCAAGCTTGCAAATAGATGTGAAAGTTTTAGCTAGTGATTGATAAAATGTCGTAGGATTAGAAGTATTTTTCGGACGAGTGGCTATTAGGACAGGTGCGATCACGCGAAGAACTTCGTTATGTGTGATCCGCCGAGGGCATTCCTTGGTGCAGTGCAAAACCCCGCTTCGAGTAACGCCCGGAGAGGCCCGAGAGGTCTTCGTGGGGCGGGGAGCGACCGGCCCTGCGGGCTGGCGCACGGCGACGGCGTTGAGGAGGGAGGCGGCCCAAGGCCATCGGAACGGCAGCGGGACAAGGTAATTCCACAAGCGATACTAACGTAACGTAGTACTGTTTCTTATTTGAATTGGAACGAACAATAGTATAATAGGGCAGCGTAATCGTCAAAACATTATGTGTACTCCATTATGCTATTCGAAATAATATAAATATTTCTAGGTTTAAGACATTTTTTGTGTTTATATTATGTTACGGTATGAGCTTATTAGTACAATAATATTGGATATTTTTTAGGTTATTCGAAGTTACAAAAAGATAACGATGATTTTCGATCTACGAAACGGTACAATTGTAATTACTACTGAAAAAGAGTATTCAATTACAATAACTAAAAAACAAAGTTATCTGAGGTTAGAACATAAATCATTTATGATTTATTGAAAGAGAAGGTTTCGTCTGTGATGTATTATTTAATTTATAAGACATTTTGATTCTATTATATTTGTTGAGTTGTTACTTGACGCGTCTTACTTTGATTAAAGCGAGACTTAACACGAAAAAGACTCCTGCTCTAGGTCTACCGCTGTCTTATTTATGGATTCTAAAATACTTTTGCATCTTTGTTGCGACCGGGTATGCATGTGGTGCGTCTTCTTGCCCGCGCGCCCAAATGAAATATCGCAAGACAGATCCAGTCGCCGGTGATAGAGGTACGTCACAGTATTTGGGCTTGATTTCTGGCGAAACGCAATGGAACGGCGTTCTGGTTTTTCGGGAATAAAATGGAAAAGAAAGGAAAAAAGCAGAGGACAAACACTTTGACTTAGTTGGACCAACATTCGCGAACTCAATAATTTTTCAGTTAACTGAATCAGTTCTACGAATATAAAAACAATATTAGTAAAGACCGATAAAACATTATTATAAATTCTATTGTTTGTTTATTATTATATTATTATTAATCCTTTACATCACGACTAAAGATGTTATGAGTCAGCTGAATATAAAATTTACTCCAGGTTGCAACCAGCTACCTACGGAGCAGATCTAGGGGCTGTCGGTGCCTCTACAGTACTTTGCGCAAAATATGGGCTGTTCTAAATAAATCAATTTCGTGCACTTCTTGCAGTCTTTTGAAAGACCTGGGAGTTTAGCCAAGTTCTTACCTAACTTTTGCGGAACAAATGTAAGAGCTCTTATGATTATCAGTACGACCAGGGATTTTACGCCCCCCATTCGACTGATCTCAATTCCAGAACTCTTGTATTTAACTTACCTCTGCCTCCTTGGCTACGACGCTTTGATCGCAAGGCATAGCAACATCTGAAAGAAGACAGGAGTTTTCTACAATTCCCGGATAACAATATATTATTTGTTTGCTGCTATCAAGAGATCCGTTTGAATTTGTTGGTCGTACAATATTCTATGGAGTCCAACAGATGTCACCGGTTTTGGTGAGTGTTCCTACCACTTGGAGCATGTGTTAGGAACTTCAAGGCCGGTACAGATCTGCCAGTGAGGTAACTACACACCCTGTCGTCTTTTCAAGCATTCGGTCTTTGCTAGAATTGGACTAGCTGAGATACGGTCAATTGTTTCTACCAAGGCAGTCTAAAATAACAGGCACTGCCCTTGACCACGTGATGCATCAGTAACGTCAACCTTCGGGTCGGAGTGTTAGTCGACGTGCAGACAGGGGATGTGTTATATTTGCCTCCGGTTTTCCAAAACGTGTTAAATGTTAATAATGGTTTGTGTTTCAATGATTATAGATGTTAATGATGAATAAGGGGTGTAATTAATTAATCAGTGCTTACTATCATTGACAATTCGAGTATCATTTATAAAATTGTTAACCTTACTTTTCAGTCATGCCACGAAGTTGCAGTGCGCCACGCTGCAAAAAACCATTATTTATTACGGTGGTAGCAATGTTAAAACGTTTGGCTTGCCAAACGATCCTGCGAAAAGGAAACCGTGGAAGCCTTCGATTAATAGGAGTGACTATATAACTCAAAATTTAGCTGTATGGATAGAACTTTTCAATTGAGCATGTCATTACGGTAGATCGTATAAAACATAAGATAATGCATCTTGGATAGCCATGAAAATACCTTTATTGACTGATGATGCATACACAATATTTTTCAAATTAACAATCCTACCATTTAAAAATACTTCTACCTAAACAAAAACCTCTTGCTGAACAAAGGGCTGAGATAGAACATTGAAAAAAATGCAAGTGCAGAGCATTGTGAGAGAAAAATACATTTCGCACTTTAGAGAGTTTTATTGGAAATTTGAAAACCAAAGTTCAGGAAAGATTTTTTATTGTGTAGTGCTAGTGGTTTTTTTTTTAAGTAAACCCGGCTGAAATGTATCCAACAATTTCATGTGGCTTAAAAATGTTTGAAGATTTTTCCAACATCGCGAAAAGTAGATCCGGCTGTCCCACGTTAGTAGATTTATTTGCATGTAAAAGATCCTCAAGCCTAAATGACGCCTCTGAGCTAAATTCAAATCGCCTATTTCTCACCCAAGAAATACCTTCTTTCTCTGCTAGTTGGTGAAAGGAACGTAGCGAAATGAGTGGTCAGGCGGAAGAGTGGGCCTGATGGCCTGAGTGCCTGAGTTTTTTGGCCTTAGCGTTTCTTTGTCACCGTAGGAAACGCTAGAGTCGCTGATCAACATATTGTCAAAGAGCATTTACCACGGACGCACATACGCCCCTGTGTAAATATGCTGTGGTAGCATCCAGGAACGTCGAAGTATCAAAAATGTAATATAACGTCCAGAAATGCATCGTTCTCTAAATAATAGAGTAACAATCGTTTCTTTGAGGTCTTTGGCCTAAAAATTTAGTTTAAAAGCTCTAGAACGCTTCGTTAGGAGTTATTGAACTACGTATGCATTGTGCACGTGTGTTCTGATTGCATTTCTTAAACCAATCCTTCATATTTTTATAGTCAAAGTGCAATTCGTCACGTCTCCGTGAAATTCTTTCTACAGAGACCTCATTGATAAAGATGGGTTGCGTGTTAAAGTCCCAAAAGTTATGTATACTACTGAAATAATATAGGAGACCATTATTAACACTGGCCTGAGTTTTAAAAAAGTTTGATGTTTAAATTTTTCAACTGTTTTTTTTCCTTTTTTGTCGTAATTGATCTCGCTAAACTTGAAACTAATATTAGTTTCCCTCAATAACGTCTCGTTTCTGTGCAATGGATCCTATGATTACCACTCTAACTGTACTTTACCATTAGAACATTTTTAGCCCTACCAATAAACGCGGTGTAAAATTTATTCTGGACTAAAGCCCAGAATAGCAGGAGAATAGCGAGGACTCCTACCAATAAATATGGACTAACTCGAGCACGGAATAAGTGAGGTGTAGTTTCTACGGCAACCGCTAAACCTCGGAGACACGTAGTTTAAGCGTGGAATAACCTAGAAATGCGAAAATAGAGGCGAATAAATCGATAAGCGAACTGTTTGTGCGTTGTCATTTTCAGTTCGACTGTACTTCCTTTTCTTGTGTTTTCTCGAGTGTTTGGCAACCTAGTTCATTTTGTGAATCATTAATATGTGCGTGCTTTGTTGGATTTTTGGCATTGGAAACTTCGAAATGATTTTGTTGGCGTTTCTTACCAGAAATAAAAGTGTAAACGGCATTGATGAAATGTACGAACAGCCGAGGGAAAAAAGTAACCGGGCACATGTGAATCTTTTTGAATGATATTCAGCTAAATTTCGAAATAAAAAACGGGTTTTCGTGGAACGGAACGCATGAGTTAACAAAGTGTGTTGAAAGGTGCCATTAACAGGAAGAAACCATATTCCTAATTGGTCCATAGTGATAGATGTCTATTATGTCATTAAGCGTGGAAACGTACAATATCTCATAGAAAATTAAGGATATGTTGTTACTTTTTTCTTTGTTTACTTTTAATAAAGTACGTAAAGTTATTCATGAACAATTAAATAAATAAAATGACATGACACATCGTTCTCATATTTTCAAAGATTCAACATTAAAACAAAGGCTGTAGATGAGAAAATTCATGGAACATTTTTGGTGGAATCTACTTTTACCTCTATGAACAATTTATCCGTCCCCATAAAAATATGTAAAACAAAAAATACTGTTTAGAGCTGCATGTTATATTGAAAAGCTGCTTTCAATGATCAAAACAGACTTGAGAAATTCTGTAGAGCCGTTGCTTTCAAGAGTCAGAATTTTATGTGGAGGAAGAAGTGATCGACCACTTATACTACCAATAGTAGCAGATGTTCAAAGAGGAGCAGCTGTTTGGAGAGCACTTCGAGAAAACCAGTAAAATAAAATGTATGATATGTAATTGACTTAACATTTTATTAATGTACTAATTTCAAATAATAGTTATACTTGTATTGTGTGTCTGATAATAGATTTATTTTTATTTTATGAATATGCTCCACTGTTGTAGCAATTGAACATATAAATCTTTTGGTAATAAATTCTTTTGCATGTTCAAGAATATAAAAAATGTATTTTCATTGAGTGTTCTGATAAAACTTTCTATTTTAAAATCAATTTCCATACTACTAGTTTCTTACATGTTTTAAATTTGAATTTACTAGTTTTTCTACAAAAAATACAAGAACTTGTCCCATTTTATTGGCTGTCAGAAATCATCCCTCCCTGCAGCATCAATAATCTCTAGGAACGACAGTAATTACCTTCAGTAAAAATATAAGAAAGGAATGGATTGGTTTTCAAGATAAATAAAAAAATGTTATGCCAAATGTAATTCTGCAGAACCTTCTCTTCAACTTCACATAAAGGATTAATTGAATCTAAGTACATGTATATATTTTTTTAACCAACACATGATAACTAAAAGTTACATACCAAATTCATATAAAAACAGTGAAAAATTGTTACAAATATTGAGTCTTTATCAGATATTGGACTAAAAAATTGGTTCATTATGAATTCAAGTTAATAGATTGGAAGTTCTAACAAGTCTTTTAGGACAATACCTGCGTAATAAAAACAATTATTGTCATAATGTTTTAATGTGAATTTGGTAGG